GACAGTTCTCCACAAACACTTTGGTGCAGACCGAAAGTCCTTCTCCATGTCTTCTCCGAACGTCTCCCACACCTGCTGCTTTGCTTCTGCCACAGCAGAGGCTGCAGTCCTTCGGGCCTGTCAGTACCTTGCAAACGCCTACGGAGTCCTCTGAGGCAACAAATCCAGGAAGGCCTCTTTCTTCAGTCCGACGGCTTCCCTGACCACCGGTGTCCACCATGGTGTTCGAGGGTTACCGCGCCTTGAGGCACCCAAGACCTTGAGATCACAGCTTTCCGCTGCAGCTTCAGCAATAGAGGCTTTGAACATTGCTCACTCATGTTCAATGTCCCCAACCTCCACAGGAAGGCCAGAAAAACTCCGCTGGAGGTTTGAGTTGAAGATCTCAGAGACAGGGGCCTCCTCCAGACATTCCCAGTTCACCCGCACTACCCGTTTGGGCTTACCAGGCCCCCACCCCCTGACCCAATGCTGACAAGTATGTGTAAAAGTTCACAACATGAGCATAAAGTTGTGTTGTTGTAAAGTGTGGGGACAGGTGTGTGTGTGTGTGTGTGTGTGTGTGTGTGTTTAGAGAGGGGGGCATGAGAGTCAGTGATAGTGGGGACCCGGGCCTTGTTGGGGAAGCCCACTGCCATCGGAAAGAAACAGTTTCTGTGGTGAGAGGTCTTGGTCCTGATGGACCGTAGCCTCCTGCCAAAGGGGAGTGTCTGAAACAGTTTATTTCTGGGATGGGAGGGGTCCGCCACAATCTTTCCTCCACACCTCAGAGTCTTGGAGGTGTACAGGTCCTGAAGAGATGGAAGGTGACAACCAATCACCTTCTCTCTGAAGAGCGAATGATAGACTGCAGTCTGCCCTTGTCCCTGGCGGTGTCAGCAGCGTACCAGATGGTGACGAAGGAGGTGAGGATGAACTCCATGAGTGTTCGCAGGCCGAACTTCTTCTGTACATCCTCGGCTGGACCTTCTTAGTGAGAGAGGTGATGTTTAGCTCCCACTTGCGGTCCTGGGAGATGATGGTGCCCAGGAAACGGAAGAAGAAGAAGACATACTTTATTAATCCCACAAGGGGAAATTCATTGTTCTTACTCTGGTGTTATTATTGTTATTAGTATGCACACAGTCTGAAATACACACACGCAACAACACACAGAGATGTCAGAGTGACGAGTCGGCCGCTCAGTGCCGCCCCGAGCAGTTGGGGGTTCAGGGCCCAGGAGGTGAACTGGCGCAACTACTCTGGTCCGAGCTGGACTCGAACCGGCGACCCTCGGGTTCCCATCCTAATCTTACGGACTGTACTACTGCTACTGGGGAGTTCATGGCTGAGGTTTCCTTTGTTGTGAATGACTGTTCAGTCGGAGTTAACCTCCCGTAGGTCGTAGATGAACGTTAGATGGCCAATGCTGAGCTAAACATGTTTACTAACCTCAGGTTTCTAACCTATTTTGCATTCCACACTTCTTTTGTTTGGGCCTTGTTGTATGAAGTTTTAAAGCCAAAGTGTATGATGAATGGCACAGCTACTGCTGGTGTTTGTTGTCCTCTCTCACGTGTGGCCGCGCACAGCAGATATGTACTATGTGTTACGTAGGTAAGTTATAGATAACGCAGGGAGGGGACAACAGCAATCTCATCAGACATTTCCTAAAAATAATCCTTGTTCACGAGTCCGAATCAAGTCTGAAGTCTTTTGAGAACAAGTCTAAAGTCAAGTCTGAAGTCACTGTGTGTGTGACTTAAGTCAGATTCCTCAGTAGAGGTCAACAGCCTCCCATCCTTACTGTACGCATCTTGGATGGTTCCCCTTTCTTCCACATGAGGTGGCGGACGGTTTTCCAGAAGCACCTTGGTGCTAGTCCTTCTCCATTGCTTCTCTGAAATTCTTCCCATACCCACTGCTTTGCCACTTTCACGACAGAGGCTGAAGCCTTTTGGGCCTGTCAGTACCTTGCAACCGACTCCTTCTTCAGTCAGACAGCTACCCCAACCACCGGTGTTCCACCACAAGGTTTGAGGATTACTGCCCCCTGAGGCATCGAAGACCTTGAGACCACAGCTCCCTGCTGCAACTTCAGCAATGGAAGCTTTGGACATTGACCACTCAGTATCATCACCATCACCGAGCTGGCCTTCTTTGCCAGCTTGCCCAGTTTGTTGGCTCCACAAGATCCAATGCCACCTCCCCAGCACACAGTAGCAAAGAAGATGACACTGGCCACTACAGACTGTTAGAACATCTGTAGCAGCCTGTTTTTGGTACCATCCGACCACACTTGTCTAGTCAGAATGACCTTCCAATGTCGTTGCTGTAGATTCTGGTAGTGTAGATCACTCGATGTCTTGTTCACTCCTGGCATATAGCTTGTTGTCATCCATGTAGAGGCTGTGACTGATGGTGGTTCCACTTTGGAACTACTATCCATAGTCAGTCTTTGTGATGATCTGGCTGAGGGGTTCAGGCCTATGCAGAACAGCAGCGGGGATAATCACATTGGTATATGGTGACTTGTTCAATTGGCTTTGTGTTGGCTTCCAGACTTGTTTTCCACAACCCCATTGAGTTCTTGATGAAGGCTATTAGTGTCCTGTTGATCTTGTACATTTCCAAGCATTCCAGTATCCATGTATGTGGCAGTGAGTTGTAGGCTTGTACCTTATCAATCTCTAGTTGTGATAGGAGATGTCCGAGCCGGTATGGCTCTTGTATTTGTGGTTTCACTCATAACTGAGGTAGACAAGTAGCATTAAGGACCTTGCCTAGTTCAAAGTGAGCATCAGAATGGGGAAGAAAGGCGATTTAAGTGAGTCTGAACGTGGCATGGTTGTTAGTGCCAGTCAGGCTGGTCTCAGTATTTCAGAAACCTAGTGATCTACCGGGATTTTAATAACCATCTCTAGGTTTTACAGAGAATGGTCCGGAAAAGACAAAATATCCAGTGAGCAGTTGTGTGGACGAAGATGCCTTGACGTCAGAGGAGATTGGGCAGACTGGTTCGAGATGACAGAAAGTCAACAGTAACTCGAATCACTCGTTACAACCGTACGCACAACATGTCGAACCTTGAAGCAGATGGGCTACAGCAGCAGAAGACCACACCGGGTGCCTCTCCTGTCAGCTAAGAACAGGAAACTGAGGTTACAATTGACACAGGGTCACCAAAACTGGACAATAGAAGATTGGAAAAACGTTGCCTGGTCTGATGAGTCTCAATTTCAGCTGCAACATTTAGATGGTAGAGTCAGAATTTGGTGTAAAAAACACAAAAGCATGGATCCACCCTGCCTCATATCAGTGGTTCAGGCTGGTGGTGATAGTGTAATGGTGTGGGGAAGTTTTTCTTGGCACACTTCGGGCCCCTTTGGGCCAACTGAGCATCGTTTAAATACGACAGTCTACCTGAGCATTGTTGCAGATCATGTCCATCTCTTTATGACCACAGTGTACCCATCTTCTAGCAAGGTGTACATAATAAACTGTCCAGTAGGATACGCCAGGGTTTGAGTGTGTATGAACATATTTTAAATTGTTGTCTTCTGCCTCTCCGTTCCCATTGGAAGTGGAGGTTTGAAGGCCACTGTATGAGGGAGCATTCTCCCAGCTTTACATGTTATGTTTGTCCTCTGATACTGCCCTAGGTAGCGCACGTCTGAATCCTTTTTGCACATCCTTGTTTCATTCTTCCTTTAATAAATACTGAAAGACAACAGTTTGATATAATCCATTTTTTTGTTTAATTCTGCTCCGGGAAATATACAATTTCCAAGACATCCCCTACAGAATCCTGTCTGTTTTTTAAGCAGTGCCATCTGAGGGCCGGAAGGTCACGGCTATCCAGTATTGGTTTTTGGCCTTGACCCTTGCGTACAGAGATTTCCTCTGATTGTTTGGATCTAGTGTTAATTTTGTGAGCCTTTTTAAAATTTAGTCTTAGTCCTGTGTCAAATGTCCTTGTTAGTTTTTGTCATATTTAGTCCACTGTTTACTTTTTTTTTTTAATCAAGTTTTAGTTGACTAAAAGTCCAGGTATTTTAGTCATTAACCATCATTTTAGTCTCTTCTAACTCATTAGTAAAATTTTGATTAGTAAAAAAAAATGGTTGTTGACGAACATATTTAATTTGGTTTCGTCTGACGAAAGTAACACTATTGGAATCTTTTATGATGTAATGTAGACAATGAAATCCCCAGATTCTTTGCATTTTCTTTGAGAAACATTATTCTTAAATTGTTGAACTATTTGCCAGTGCAGTCTTTCACAGAGTGGTGAACCCTTCCCCATCTTTACTGCAGAAAGACGATTTTCAAATCCAATCATGTGACTGACTTGTTGCAAGTTAACCTAATTAATTGAGATGTTCCACCGGGTGTTTTCTTTTAGCATTTCAAAAATTTTAGGCAAATAAACAGATTTCTCAGTTTCACTATTTGAAAAGCTGTCTTTGTGCTATAATTATGAGGTTTCTATTTAGATTTTTCACAGAGTGCCAACCTTTTTTGAAACTGGATTGTGGTATTTCACAAGGACAAAGCAAAAGAATTGAGAAAAGCCAGAAAGAAATTAAATAATTTACTGTAGAAATAATGGTCTTCCTCTTTCCTTTCTTCACGAGATCACCCCCCCCAAACATGAAACCATACTCTTAATTATCACATTAAACATAGTAAGAAGCTTTGTTTTGAAAGTAGCCATTCAAATGAAGCTTTACTTGCTTCAGACACATCTTCTGACTGTTGTCAAGCTGGTGCTGCTAACAATAATGACGTAGGACTGGCCTGTTGGGACTTTTCTGTTCTGGAAAGGTATAACACAGTAGATATTTCTGCATTCCACAGTTAGAGGTGACCACAGCAGTCTGGCTGGGTAAGTTTAGGCTGCCTGTGATGCTGTATATTTAAACAAGCAAATTATTTATTCTAGGATAAGTAATGAGAAGAAACTCTTTCAGTATTTGCACACTTTGTAGTTTGTAGTTTTGTCGCCTAAAACAAGAAAGATGATTAATTCAACTTTATCAAATTTATCTTATTTTATTCTTGGAGCTTATTTGCATGTTGGAAACTTAAGATACTTTTATTTCCTGATAACTGCTTTGCTTTACATTGTAATTGTTGCAGTCAACATGTCTCTCATTGTGGTTATCTGTATGAACAGAAGCTTACATGAACCTATGTACCTTTTTCTGTGCAGCCTGTTTGTAAATGAGCTGTATGGTAGTACAGGGTTGTTTCCATTCCTTCTGCTTCAGATTCTCTCTGACATTCACACTGTTTCTGCTCCCTTTTGTTACCTGCAGATTTTCTCTTTGTACTCTTATGGAAGTATAGAATTTGCCAATTTAGCCGTCATGTCTTACGACAGATATCTTGCTATCTGTTGTCCTCTACAATATAACACACGCATGACTTTAAACAAGGTATTTATATTTATCATTGTGATATGGTTGTACTCTTGTGTGAATATTCTAATTCCTTTAACCCTAAACATCCGGTTGACTCTGTGTGGACACATCATTAACAGTTTGTATTGTCATAACTACCTAGTAGTTAAGTTGGCGTGCTCTGACACCAGACTGAATGACATTTATGGACTTTTTGTTGTTGTTCTCTCCATCGTAGTCCCTCTGCTGCCAATAATTTTCTCTTACATAAAAATTCTTAAGGTTTGTTTTGCTGCTTCCAAACAGACCAGACAGAAAGCTGTCAGTACCTGCACACCTCAGCTTGTGTCTCTGTTGAACTTTTCCTTTGGCTGCAGCTTTGAGATACTTCAGAGCAGATTTGATATGACCGGTGTTCCCAGTGTGCTGCGTATCATTCTCTCTCTGTATTTTCTCATCATACAACCACTTTTGAATCCTATCATGTATGGAATGCAAATGTCCAAAATCAGAAGAACATTTAAGCATCTGTTCTGTTTTAAACTGTTCACTGGTCAGATTGATACCATGTAAGTGCAATAAAAAAGTGTCAGTAAATAATTTTTAATATCTCGCAATGAAATGTTCTGGTTGAAAACATGAATGGAATGGAAACAAATGTCTTTCTATTAATGTTAATGTGAAGTGTGGTACATTTAAAATAACAAAGTAGAACAACATTAAAATGTTAACATAAGGTATTTATTGTGGCCATTATGAAATATTTATCCACATGCATCCCAGTACTTATGACCCAGAGAGAAAGTGTTTGTCACCTCATGTTTACCCAGAGCAATACACACCTATATATTAATAGAAGTAAAGACTTTCGGTTAGACAATGTGTGTGTGAATGATTTTAAAGCAATTTACTATTAACTATGTAGTTAATGTGGCAAAACAACTCTTCGAAGTTTATTGTCATAGTACAGCATAATAATTGTGCCCTGGCTCTCTCATCCTTGAGATAAATACAGACTATCTATAACATAACAATTACAGGTAAGGTATACGATTCTACATGTACTTTTTGTCAAACGCAGTGAATATCTAATTATGGCTCTATAAATGGGAAACATGGTGGCCACACAGCACTGTTCCAGCCATGATTTGAGAGTCAGTAACATTAAATGACTTGCCCACAGACGAAAGTAAATAGAAAAGGATGAAACAATCCACATGTTATATATCATTTTAGTATTGTTTTATCAATGGGGTTTTTGCAGCGCATTGATACTGTGAAGTCAAGATCACTGTAATCAGTTTAACACATTGCTCGCTTCAACGTTACATCTACTTGACTAAGTCCCCCTCCTTAAAGGTTAAATTATTTATATTTAATTATATCATAACAATTTAATAATGCATTGCATACAAACAGCACTTTTAACACCAAAAAAGCAATATCAGAAGCCTACTGGTCCTACCAGGCTGGACATGTAGTCTGCCAAAATACGTATCCCCATCCAAAATGCACAGATGATGGCCTACTATCAAGTATTTAATTTTGGACTAATAAAAAGGATGAATATGGAGACGTTTGTTGTTTCCTAGCAAAAGTTACAGTGGGATACAAAATATAAACTGGGATCCAGTGAATTTCTAGTACACTAGAACTTAATTCTGTTCATTAAGCCTTAAGAAGTGTTGCATGTACTGTAACTTGAGCTAAATAATATAATTTAACAAAACTATAACTAAGTTACTGAAACATACTAAAACATTGCCTTATATACTAAACAAGAAATTTTGAAAGCTTGAACATTGCCTTTGTGTCCATTGGCCCAGATTGAATGTGCCCCTCTGAAAAAACAACTGGCCCCAACGTGGCCTCCTCAATTAAATTGGTCTAGAAAAACCATTGCAGTCAGCTGATACTAAAGTTAAAGTTTATCTGTTAGTCAGACACATAGACGGAAGTGTGTCCAGGTTACACTTTTAGACTGTGGACTAGTCCACGTGGACCTGCTCTCAGTAGATCTTATTTACCAAATAAAATATTTTAAGTGGTTACTGGACTGGATCAGAATCAGGATTATTGCCAGGTACATTTTCACATACGAGGAATTTGCCTTGGTATATATTGGTGCTCACAGTACACATGCACATAAATATATAAAAAGTAAGGAGATCAAAACATACAGGAGATACAAAAATTACAATAATACTATAATACAATGCTGACAGCCATCCATTCATCCGCTTATCCAGGGTCGGGTCGCGGGGGCACCAGCTCCAGCAGGGCACCCCAAACTTCTCTTTACCGAGCCACATTAACCAGCTCTGACTGTTGGATCCCGAGGCGTTCCCAGGTTAGTGTGGAGATATAATCTCTCCACCTATTCCTGGGCCTCCCCAGAGGCCTCCTCCCAGCTGGACATGCCTGGAACACCTCCCTAGGGAGGCGTCCAGGAAGCATCCTTACCAGATGCCCAAACCACCTCAACTGGCTCCTTTCAACGCAAAGCAGCAGCGGCTCTACTCTGAGCTCCTCGCGGATGGCCGAGCTTCTCACCCTTGTCTCTAAGGGAGACACCAGCCACCCACATGAGGAAACCCATTTCGGCCGCTTGTACCCGCAATTTCGTTCTTTCGGTCATGACCCAGCCTGACCGTAGGTGAGGGTAGGAACGAAAATTGACCGGTATAAATTGACACGGACATACACCTTCTCCAGATCTACAAAGCGCATGTAGACTGGATGGGCATACTCCCAAGCCCACTCTAGGATCCTTGAAAGAGTAAAGAGCTGGTCAGTTGTTCCACGACTGGGATGAAAACAGCGTTGTTCCTCTTCGATCTGAGGTTCGACTATCGGCCGAACCCTTCATTCCAGCACCTTGGAGTAGACTTTGGACGGGTCCCCGCTTCCCCCTCCTGAGATGGCGGACAGTTCTCCACAAACACTTTGGTGCAGACCGAAAGTCCTTCTCCATGTCTTCTCCGAACGTCTCCCACACCTGCTGCTTTGCTTCTGCCACAGCAGAGGCTGCAGTCCTTCGGGCCTGTCAGTACCTTGCAAACGCCTATGGAGTCCTCTGAGGCAACAAATCCAGGAAGGCCTCTTTCTTCAGTCCGACGGCTTCCCTGACCACCGGTGTCCACCATGGTGTTCGAGGGTTACCGCGCCTTGAGGCACCCAAGACCTTGAGATCACAGCTTTCCGCTGCAGCTTCAGCAATAGAGGCTTTGAACATTGCTCACTCATGTTCAATGTCCCCAACCTCCACAGGAAGGCCAGAAAAACTCCGCTGGAGGTTTGAGTTGAAGATCTCAGAGACAGGGGCCTCCTCCAGACATTCCCAGTTCACCCGCACTACCCGTTTGGGCTTACCAGGCCCCCACCCCCTGACCCAATGCTGACAAGTATGTGTAAAAGTTCACAACATGAGCATAAAGTTGTGTTGTTGTAAAGTGTGGGGACAGGTGTGTGTGTGTGTGTGTGTGTGTGTGTGTTTAGAGAGGGGGGCATGAGAGTCAGTGATAGTGGGGACCCGGGCCTTGTTGGGGAAGCCCACTGCCATCGGAAAGAAACAGTTTCTGTGGTGAGAGGTCTTGGTCCTGATGGACCGTAGCCTCCTGCCAAAGGGGAGTGTCTGAAACAGTTTATTTCTGGGATGGGAGGGGTCCGCCACAATCTTTCCTCCACACCTCAGAGTCTTGGAGGTGTACAGGTCCTGAAGAGACGGAAGGTGACAACCAATCACCTTCTCTCTGAAGAGCGAATGATAGACTGCAGTCTGCCCTTGTCCCTGGCGGTGTCAGCAGCGTACCAGATGGTGACGAAGGAGGTGAGGATGAACTCCATGAGTGTTCGCAGGCCGAACTTCTTCTGTACATCCTCGGCTGGACCTTCTTAGTGAGAAGGTGATGTTTAGCTCCCACTTGCGGTCCTGGGAGATGATGGTGCCCAGGAAACGGAAGAAGAAGAAGACATACTTTATTAATCCCACAAGGGGAAATTCATTGTTCTTACTCTGGTGTTATTATTGTTATTAGTATGCACACAGTCTGAAATACACACACGCAACAACACACAGAGATGTCAGAGTGACGAGTCGGCCGCTCAGTGCCGCCCCGAGCAGTTGGGGGTTCAGGGCCCAGGAGGTGAACTGGCGCAACTACTCTGGTCCGAGCTGGACTCGAACCGGCGACCCTCGGGTTCCCATCCTAATCTTACGGACTGTACTACTGCTACTGGGGAGTTCATGGCTGAGGTTTCCTTTGTTGTGAATGACTGTTCAGTCGGAGTTAACCTCCCGTAGGTCGTAGATGAACGTTAGATGGCCAATGCTGAGCTAAACATGTTTACTAACCTCAGGTTTCTAACCTATTTTGCATTCCACACTTCTTTTGTTTGGGCCTTGTTGTATGAAGTTTTAAAGCCAAAGTGTATGATGAATGGCACAGCTACTGCTGGTGTTTGTTGTCCTCTCTCACGTGTGGCCGCGCACAGCAGATATGTACTATGTGTTACGTAGGTAAGTTATAAATAACGCAGGGAGGGGACAACAGCAATCTCATCAGACATTTCCTAAAAATAATCCTTGTTCACGAGTCCGAATCAAGTCTGAAGTCTTTTGAGAACAAGTCTAAAGTCAAGTCTGAAGTCACTGTGTGTGTGACTTAAGTCAGATTCGAATCCTAGTCTCAAACTCGAGTCCCCATCTCTGCCACCTCAGTAGAGGTCAACAGCCTCCCATCCTTACTGTACGCATCTTGGATGGTTCCCCTTTCTTCCACATGAGGTGGCGGACGGTTTTCCAGAAGCACCTTGGTGCTAGTCCTTCTCCATTGCTTCTCTGAAATTCTTCCCATACCCACTGCTTTGCCACTTTCACGACAGAGGCTGCAGCCTTTTGGGCCTGTCAGTGCCTTGCAACCGACTCCTTCTTCAGTCAGACAGCTACCCCAACCACCGGTGTTCCACCACAATCCTCCTGTTTTTTATTAACCCTGTTACAACGTTTTTGATACGTGTGGCTGGCATCAAAAATTTAAATCATTTTCCAAAAATATCAGCTTTCTCAGTTTCTACATTTTGAAAAGCTTTCTATTATTATTAAACCTTTATTTAACCAGGAAAATCCCATTGAGATTACTAATCTCTTTTTCAAGGGAGTCCTGGCCAAGACAGCGGCACAGATCACAACAATTCAGTACATTTCAGACAATTTCATAACAATTTCATAAGACTATTTAAAAACATTTACAAACCATAGATTTCATTTCCAAACCTTTGAGCAAGAGTTTAAATTGGCCTATTGAAACCAGTTCCTTTAATTTCCAGAATTTTTGTAAATTGTTCCATGTTGTGGGGGCAGAAAAGTGAAATGCCACCTTACCAGCTTCTGTGCTTGGTACAGACAGTAGCAGTGAGTCTTGTGAGCGTAAAGAATACAGTCCAGCCCCTTTTGGTTGAATATATTCACACAGATATGAGGGGAGCAGACGCAGAATACCCTTATAAATAAACATATACCAATGACTGAGTCTACGATTTTCCAGTGCTGGCCAGTGTTATTTTAAATTAATTATGGGGTTTCAAAGTTTTGCACATCACATTTTGTTTCTATTAACATTTTTCACAGAGTGCCAACCTTTTTTGAAACTGGGTTGTGGTATTTCACAAGGACAAAGCAAAAAAAATGAGAAAAGCCAGAAAGAAATTAATTAAATGTTTGATTTACTGCAGCAGTAATGGTCTTCCTCTTCCCTTGCTTATTAATTATCAAGAAAGTGTCACTTACAAACGTTAAGAAGCTTTGTTTTGAAAGTAGCCATTCAAATGAAGCTTTACTTGCTTCAGACACATCTTCTGACTGTTGTCAAGCTGGTGCTGCTAACAATAATGACGTAGGACTGGCCTGTTGGGACTTTTCTGTTCTGGAAAGGTATAACACAGTAGATATTTCTGCATTCCACAGTTAGAGGTGACCACAGCAGTCTGGCTGGGTAAGTTTAGGCTGCCTGTGATGCTGTATATTTAAACAAGCAAATTATTTATTCTAGGATAAGTAATGAGAAGAAACTCTTTCAGTATTTGCACACTTTGTAGTTTGTAGTTTTGTCGCTTAAAACAAGAATGATGATAAATTCAACTTTATCAAGTTTATCTTATTTTATTCTTGGCGCTTATTTGCATGTTGGAAACTTAAGATACTTTTATTTCCTGATAACTGCTTTGCTTTACATTGTAATTGTTGCTGTCAACACGTCTCTCATTGTGGTTATCTGTATGAACAGAAGCTTACATGAACCTATGTACCTTTTTCTGTGCAGCCTGTTTGTAAATGAGCTGTATGGTAGTACAGGGTTGTTTCCATTCCTTCTGCTTCAGATTCTCTCTGACATTCACACTGTTTCTGCTCCCTTTTGTTTTATACAGATTTTCTGTTTGTATACATATGGACATGTACAATTTAGTAACTTAGCCGTCATGTCTTATGACAGATATCTTGCTATCTGTTGTCCTCTACAATATAACACACTTATGACTTTGAATAAGGTGTGTATCCTTATTTTTGTGGCATGGTTGTACTCTTTTGTGACTTTTCTAATTGTTTTATCCTTAAACATCCGTTTGGCACTATGTGGAAACATCATTAGTAGTTTGTATTGTCAGAACTACATAGTAGTTAAGTTGGCATGTTCTGATACAAAAGTGAATAACATTTATGGACTTGTTGGTATTGTTTTCTCTGTTGTAATCCCCCTGCTTCTAATCTTTTATTCTTACATAAAAATTCTTAAGGTTTGTTTTGCTGCTTCCAAACAGACCAGACAGAAAGCTGTCAGTACCTGCACACCTCAGCTTGTGTCTCTGTTGAACTTTTCTTTTGGGGGCTGCTTTGAGATACTTCAGAGCAGATTTGATATGACGAGTTTTCCCAGTGTGCTGCGTATCTTTCTGTCTCTGTATTTTCTCCTCATACAACCACTTTTGAATCCTATCATGTATGGAATGCAAATGTCCAAAATCCGAAGAACATTTAAGCATCTGTTCTGTTTTAAACTGTTGATGGGACAGAGAGATACCATGTAAGTGTAATAAAAGGTGTCCGTAAATAATTACTAATATCTCGTTGAAATAAGATGATTGCAAACATGAAACTGAATGGAAACAAAGATGTCTTTCTATTATTGTTGATGTGGTGTGTACTATATTTAAAATAACATAACAATATTGACATTTTGTGTTTATTGTTGTGATTTTAATATATTGTATATCCACATCTATCCCAGTACTCAAAACCCAGAGAGAATTTGTGTCTCCTAAATGTTCACACAGAGCACGACACCTAGTACTTGTTAGAACTTTAATTTAAATAACATACATAGAAATGATTTTAAAGCAGAAATAACTAGTGACTTTGTAGTTCAGGTTTGTTGTGACAGTACGGTGAAATGTTTGGTCCTGGTTCTCTCTGTAAATGCACAATCCACCCATGATTTGTGTGTAAGGTAATGTTAAATGACTTGCCCACAAACATTCAGCTTTCTTTCTAGTTTAGAGACATGCTACTGTTATGATGTAAGTATAAACATAAATACTGTTCATTCTTACGTAAGTCTTTCCTAATTGTGATGCTGCATGTCTGAAACAAAGGCAAATAGTCTGTGTTTGACAGAAGCAGAATGTATTTAGGACTTGGAATGAGGGTTGAATGTCTTTTAGTTAGTGAAGTTTAGTTTTAAAGACTTGAGGACTGCAGTTGATTTATTTTGTCTTAGATAATATGAAGATGTAAAACAAACAAACTGTAAAACTGCTCTAAACTGCTGACCTTTTACCAAATTTCAGTCCAAAATAATAAATCAAACTGATGTTTTGTGGAAGTACGTGACACTATAGGCCTGTTTTCCTGCTGCGATTACAAACACGTAAAGAAACTTCAGCAAAACACTTTTCTGTGCTTTGACCTTTTATTATATTCTGGATTACAGATTAAGATTCTTTTCCCCTCTCATGCACGTGATGTTGAATTTACACGGTTTGATTTAACTGTAATTTTTGCTAAGAAGATTGCCTCCCATTTTGTCGGTTCATATTTTTAACATTCAACTGATACTGAAGCTAAAGTTTATCTGTTAGTCAGACACATGGATAACACATGGATAAGGCCAGACTTTTAGACTCTGGACTGGCCTATGTGGACCTGCTCTCAGTAGATCTTAAATATAGAATAAAATAGCTTCAGTGGTTGCTGGACTGAAGTATGGAGTGACTCAAAGATCTTTTCTCTGCCCTTTCTTTTATGCATCTTCTTTTTTATACCACAGGGTATTTTAATTTGACATTTTAACATAGAGTAAACATAGAAGTAAAACACTATCTTTTATATGAGTATTTATCTTTGAGAGACCAGGTGTAGTAGAATTTTCTCAAATTCATTGAATACAAATCGGAGATCCTTCGAACAGACCTTTAGGTAAAATCTGGGATGGGCTCCACCCCTGCGTTGCCAGAATCTTATGGCTCTTGATATAAACTAACGCTGTAAGAGAGAAAGAACTCAAAGAACTTAACGTAGATGGACATTTCAAATACATTTTAAATGGTTAAAATCCGTTCAGTCCCTGTGTTGCCCAAAAATTTGAAGGCGTGGGTTTTGAGGTGTGTAACATCAACAGGAGACTGTATAAGCTTACCTGGGGGAGAACAAAACTGATGGGGATGGTATTGGGGTTAGTTTGTAGTAGCGTTGACAGCGCCACCTAGGGGATTTTCACCCCGAGCAAATTCTTAGGAAATGTAACCACTTAGGTACTCGGAGAGGTTCAACAACACTTGACCAGAAATTTATTTTATTAACAATATTTCTTTTTAACAAAAAAGGGAAGGTAGGTGACCCAAATCCCAACAACATCCCCGTCTAGAGCTCATTCATGTTTCCAACAGTTAACACCCACAATTTCAATAATCCAATCACAATCCCCCAAAAACCTGACATACGGCACTTACCCGAGGCATCTGGTCTTGTTTCTCTGGAGTCTGTCAGGAGGAAGGGTAACCCACTGGATGTGTTTCCCAGTTTTAGGACCTCCAGGAGTTGCCGATCTTGGCAGAATTAAGGCCGACGCTGCAAACCAGACCGATCTATGGTACCGTGAGTAACATTGTAAATAACCTGGTCACTGTTATTGAACTGCGATAACACACGCTGAACTGTTGTGATCTTTCTTTGCTGTTTTGGCTTTGTGGGGACCCACAGTAAAAATACGGGTCAGAGTTTGGAGTTGTCATATTTGTGGTGATTGTGAACTGGATTGGACTGAACTGTGTTAGGGTTGTGAGAGACACCCAACAGACTTTATGTGGATTGAACTCACTCTCTCACACACACACACACACACATACACACACACACACACACACACACACACACACACTGCTGTGTTAGATTTATGAAAACATGCACACGGAAAATGGGCTGAGTTGTGGTCTATTTAGTTTTGTGCAGTAATTGTTTTGGTGATGTTTATTTGTTGGCTATTTGCTATTAGTTAATTGTTTTGTATAGTTTGACTAAGCTATTTTTGTTCCATGCAACTGGTTTAGTTTCTGGTTTGCAACCCATACTTGTTTATTACAGCAGTGTGTAACATCACTATGCTTGCCGTAGCCTGGTTTATTCACTCCAAACCAGCTGATTGAAAAGCAATCTAATTGAACACACCTTTGTGGGAGATAATCCACAAACCACCCCATTGCCTGGTCAGATAAACCAATACTGTTCAACCTCTGTTTCAAAATAAGATGGTCAACAGTATCAAAAGCTTTTTGGCTGAATTGGCGGCCGCTGGCAACATCCGCCTGAAGCAACCTCCATGTGGTCCAGCATATAATCTAATATTTAACAACAAAAGTAAACTACATGTATAGTGAATGGAAGTTGCTAAAGAGTGAGTTTAATAAGCATAAACACGCAAAACATTATGTTTTAATCTGCTCAGTCTCTCATCCACCGCAGCTGTGTTTTGGTTTTACACAAGCACAGTGCTAGTTCAGATAAGAGCTTATTGTTACAAACAAGCTAAAGTGAAAGCTGTCTGTCTTTAGTAACTGTTCAGCTTAGTTTGCCACTTACATTAAAATATGGCACATTATAAACTCAGCTGGTGGCTGAGACAGACCCTCCTCTCTTCCAGCAGAAGCAGAGGGACTGAGCTGTTCATTCTTTCTAAACTTCACTCAGGATGTTGATGTCAGGAATAGGATTTATTTTACTGACCTGTTAGATTTATTTCCAGTGAGCTATAAGTGATTAAAACATTACATTATATACTAAAGAAGACATTTTGAGAGCTTGAACATTGCCTTTGTCTCTTTTGTCCTGGATTGAATGGGCCCCTCTGACAAAACAACTGGCCCCAGCCTGGCCCCATTAATAAAATTGGTCTAGAACCGCCACTGGACTTTCCTCTTTGATAAAGCTTATAGTTAGGGCTGGCTCAGGTGAGTCCTGAACCCTTAGTTCCCTTAGTTATCCTGCTATAGGCCTAGACTGCCGGGGGATTTCCCATGATGCACCGAGCTCCTCTCTCCACCTCACTAGCTTGTTACTAGCTCGACTTCTTCTCTTTCCTGTATTGGGCTTTTTTGTCCCTCTCCTCTCTCCACAGAATTTAATGGTGCTGCCCAGTTCCCAGTAGTCCTAGTGACAATTTAGTGTGCAGGAAGAAAGGAGAAAACCTAATCTGCCACGCTGAGAACATAAAATCTTCAGTAATGTGTCATATTAAGAGGATATTGTGCTTGTGAACATACATACCCTAACATTTGGGACCACTTTTTAATCACTGGTTCCTAATCTTTTTGGCTTGTGACCTTTTAGAGCCAGTTAATGCCTGCTGGTAACCTCGTCACAGGTTGTCTATAAACTGTTAGCAACTTCACCAAAGTATGATGTTTCCTTTCAGATTGTTTTTTTTCCCCCCAACACGTTAAACTCTAGTGTTTAACTAGGACAAAGCAAACAATTTAAGAAAAGCCACCAAAAATTAACGACACCTTCCAAAATAAAACATTGTCTTGGTTAAATGTCACATTAAATTTAAAAAAAATTTCATTGCCTTACTGTCAGTGGGCTCAAAACTCACTTGAAATGAAGCACACGCCTGTTTCCTCCGTTGCTTCCATCAGCCACTATTCTGCTTTTAATGTGAGGTCTCCGGGTGGGATTCAGCCCTGTGCGCTCCCGAGCCTCTCAGACTACAGCGACAACACGGCAGCTCACGACATGCAGTCCACTAACAGCATAAAACAACCGGCTCCCAGCAAAACACAGGCTCCACGTAAGGATCCAAAACTACAATAAAGGTTCAGATGATGTCCAGTTAGAGCAAAGTGAGCATTAGTAAAGCTGCAGAAACACAGAGAAAGTCACGTTAGCTCATCGGCTAACGCTGAGCAGGTGCAAAGTTCTATCGCTTTCCACATTACTTCACCAACTAACACCACCAGTGTTACTATCCTGTGTACCACTGTTGATTTAGCCTGAAAGGATGTAACGGTGAAAAGCAAATGTGGAGCGATTTGTTTAGTAACGTTAGCTTATAGTGATGCAGCCAGCTAACGCTACAGCAGCTCGACCTGCCGCTGTTTGCTCCGTAACATTCAGTTTGTTTATTGTGGTTTTACCGATACTCAGGTACACAGCTGCTCCACCTCTCCGTTGCTGTAACTAACGTGACATAACATAAAACACTGCAACAAAACGGCCACAATAACACAGAGAAAGAGCCATCCGCTAACACTACTTACAGTAAAGTTACTGACTGCAGTCTGACTTTTATAAAGTGTGATGCAATCTCGTTAAAATATCCAGTCAAGCTCACTGTTTCATTATCATCCAGTACATGTAGCTGTACTGACAGTGCTGAGCCAGATTCACAGATAGTAAAGATGGTTACTGAAAGCAGCCGGTGAGCTAACGATGTAGCAAGTCAGCTAAATGCAGTAAATGTACCGTGATCATGTAACGAGCACGGATTATTACTGGAACGTTGCAGTGGGAGTTTCCCTGAGTTTCCAGCTCTGTCTGTTCTCCCTGTCTGTCTATAGCCGCTGTCACTCTGCCTTTTTCCGGGAGTATTGAGCCAATATGTGCACTGAATGAAAAGGTACGGCGCCGGTGATGATCTGCCTCTGAGATGATCGAAGTAACAGAGCCTGAACATGTCTGGTGAAAAGCCACAGCCTGCATGCTGGTGTTCCTGCGTTTATTGTGGTATTTCTGTAAGAAAGTGGTTTGTGTTTCGGATTATGCTCGCTCATGAGTTCAAGCGAGCACACGTACGAGCACACACCTGGTTGCAATATTAGACCCGCACCGCTAGTGGCCGCTGGAAACTCCATAATGCCCCTTTAAAGTTATTAAGAAGCTATGTTGTGAAAATAGCCATTCAAATCAAGCTTCACTTGAAGGAGCTCTGCTAACAATAATGATGTAGGACTGGCCTGTTGGGATGTTTCTGCTCTCTAAAGGTATATATCAGCATGTCTGACAGTTAGAGGTGACCACAGCAGTCTGGCTGGGTAAGTTTAGGCTGCCTGTGATACTGTACATTTAGACAAACTAGTTATTCTGGGATGATTGATGAAAACAAACTTTTTCAGTATTTGCACACCCTGTTTGTAGTTGTTTTGTCTTTTAAAAGGAGAAAGATGATTAATTCAACTTTATCAAATTTATCTTATTTTATTCTTGGAGCTTATTTGCATGTTGGAAACTTAAGATACTTTTATTTCCTGATAACTGCTTTGCTTTACATTGTAATTGTTGCAGTCAACATGTCTCTCATTGTGGTTATCTGTATGGACAGAAGCTTACATGAACCTATGTACCTTTTTCTGTGCAGCCTGTTTGTAAATGAGCTGTATGGTAGTACAGGGTTGTTTCCATTCCTTCTGCTTCAGATTCTCTCTGACATTCACACTGTTTCTGCTCCCTTTTGTTACCTGCAGATTTTCTGTTTATATACATATGGAAGTATAGAAATTAGTAACTTAGCCATCATGTCTTACGACAGATATCTTGCTATCTGTTGTCCTCTACAGTATAACACACACATGACTTTGAACAAGGTATTCATCTTTATCATTGTGGTATGGTTGTACTCTTTTGTGAAATTTGTAATTATTTTATCTTTAAACATCCGGTTGACTCTGTGTGGACACATCATTAACAGTTTGTATTGTCAGAACTACCTAGTAGTTAAATTAGCATGTTCTGACACCAAACTGAATAACATTTATGGACTTTTTAGTATTGTTCTCTCCATCGTAGTCCCTCTGCTGCCAATAATTTTCTCTTACATAAAAATTCTTAAGGTTTGTTTTGCTGCTTCCAAACAGACCAGACAGAAAGCTGTCAGTATCTGCACACCTCAGCTTGTGTCTCTGTTGAACTTTTCTTTTGGCAGCAGCTTTGAGATACTTCAGAGCAGATTTGATATGACCGGTGTTCCCAGTGTGCTGCGTATTATTCTCTCTCTGTATTTTCTCATCATACAACCACTTTTGAATCCTATCATGTATGGAATGCAAATGTCCAAAATCCGAAGAACATTTAAGCATCTGTTCTGTTATAAACTGTTGACTGGTCAGAGAGATACCATGTAAGTGCAACTAAATAATTCTCAATATCGTCACATATTGTTGAAATGTGCTAACTGAAAACATGAAACTGGATGGAAACAAATGTCTTTCTGTCACTGTTTATGTGGAGTGTACTACATTTAAAATTACAATATAACAACAATATTGAGAAGTTTAACGTAAGGTATATGTTGTGGTCATTATAATATATTTGAATAATCTCAGTGTATAACACTGTTGTAAAATGACAGATAAATCTATCTTATACTTTGTACCTTATGTCTACAAGCATCCCAGTACTCCCAGACAGAAATTGTGTCAACTTCATGTTTACACAGAACAATACACACCTGTGTGTGTGTGTGTATGTGTATGTGTGTGTGTGTGTGTGTGTGTGTGTGTGTGTAAAAAGGTAAATCTTTAATTTAGACTATAAACTATATATAAATTCAGAGCAGAATTAACTATTGCCTATGTCATTAAAGTGGGAAAACAAGTTAAAAGTTCAAGTTTATTGTGACAGGACAGTGAAATGTGCCCTGTCTCTCTCATACTTCTGTACATAAATATATACAGACCATTCATAACATGATAACTAAAGGGGGGTTATATGATTCTACACATCATTTTGTCAACATCTCCTCACAGTCCACTAGCTGTCTGCTCTGTGTGTGCACAGAAATCAGTCCAATGATTGTCTTGAAGAAGAATGTGAAGAAGAAGAATACAATCTCTGCTACTGTAAACCGTTCTAAACTGCTGTAAAAAGAATCGCATTGTGGTATATTTCATAATTGTATATTTCCTTGTGGGTAAATGAACAAATAAAGAGGTAAAATTTATTAAAGTGAGAAAAGCAGACAGTTACACCAGCAGGGGCAGAGACCTCACACACCTAAAGACGAGGGTCTGACTCAGAGAAACAGAAAACTAAAACATTTAACGGTGGGAGATAATTGTGGAGTCTACAAGAAAAGCCTTGAGCAACAGTGGAAGTTCCTTTCTCCCAGGAAAGGGGTCTTCCTAAGATAAAACAGTCTCCCAGATGCTCATTCTATCCCACACACTGATACAGTGTCATTATAATAAGGGGCAAAGTACATAAGTTAATGATACAGAAGTATATACATGTAAAATCACATTTTTGCACAGCACACCTGTAATTTCATCTATACTAATCTGACACATTACCTATGAGCATGATTTCTTGAGGTATAAATCACACACATCTTTAACTTTATTTAGGAGCACATACTGAATAATAATAAGAAGAAGATACTTTTACACATGTTGCGAAATTCATTCCCTGCACTTTAACCTTGAGGCACTTTAACAACAAACTGGATATTTGACTATGATTAGAGTTAAGCATTCGCTGATATAAAGTGATAACAATAATACTTGTTTGTGTTTTCAAACAGAAATAAGCATTCACCCGTGAGATTTAACTGTAATGTTTGCTAAGAGATGCCTCCAATCCAGTCAGTTTATACTTTTAACATTCAACTGATACTGAAGTTGGAGTTTATCTGTTAGTCAGACACATGGACGACTCAAGTGTGTCCAGGTTTGTCAGGTGGGGGTATGGTGAGCAGGTTGGTGGACCCAAATACAGGACACAGAGCGGAGCAGGTACTGTTCAAAAGGTTTTATTGTGGCAACACAAAGCGAGCACTCTTACAAACATAGTGGCTGAGTCCAAGTAATAGCAGGGAAAACAGAGACAGGCAGGCAGGGACAACAGGGGGCAACAGAGAGGCAGGCAGGCAGGCAGAGTGATAATTGGTGGAACAGATGGAACACTTGACAGGCAGACATGGGGAAAAATTAATAACCAGCACAGACAGAACACGTTACAAAATACCAGACAAGAATCTAACTTCAGACAATAACAGAAACCCATGTAAACAGACAAACACCGACCAACTAGAACACAGTACAGTACTGAGCAGACTAAACCAAAATGATGCAGAGAAAGAACTAGAAGCAAATACTACAGCATGAACTAAGGCACAGGACCATGAATAAAGACATGGAACTAAAAACCAAACTCCTCAACAAGACACACAGACAGGATCATGACCTCCCACAAGGTCCCCTGACGTCCCTAAACCAAAAACCCACCCAAAAAAACAAAAAGTCCAAGACCCAACCAGGGTGGCCAGAGGGAGGACTGGAGGAGGGCCAGAACAAACAAAAAAAACTGCCGGTCCAGGGCGCAAACAGGGGGGCCAGACAGGGAATTCTCAGGTGGATGGCCTGTGGGCAGAGCAGGGCAAGGGAACAGTTTGGGGGAACGAGCCAACAGGCATATCAGCACCAGGGAACGGGACAGGTTAGGCCCTCGGCAGTCAGACTTCACCTGGAAGCTCCCTAAAGCTATGAAGACAAAGACAGATAGCCTCTATCACAGACAGATGCAGCCATTCAACTAGATTATTGAGCACTCTCAGATCTGATTGGCAGACAGCTCAGTATCATTATAACATAATAGTGTGTTGCAGTACTGGGGGAACAAATTACATGTTATCAGCCTTGTGAAATGGGCAGTAAGCAAAAAGGCTGTTTGAATTGAAATGGAGTGATCAGGCTTGTTGAACATGCACATGTTGAGCTTGTTTATTATAATTTGTAGGTGTGATGTTTAGTTTTGAATAAGAAATGCTTTGCAATGGGGAATACATATAGTAATTGAGTGGGGAAAATTATATTTCCTGTGTTACGAAAGGATTGAAAAGTGAATGACATGCTGGAATCATTTGTGTCGACAGAGGAGGTTGGATATTGGTTGTAGTAGGGTGAATGCTTGATAATGGCTTACAAAATAGTTTACAAAAGGATGAGCACTAAGGTATGCGGCATTCAGACCAAACACAAATTTAATCCACGCAACGCTTTCCTTGCGGGGGTTTTATCGCTGAACAACTGCTGAGTGTTCACACACAACGCGATAATGCGAATAAACACAGCCCGCGATTACTCCAGCTGTATGAACCCAAAGTAAACATTTTGCTGTGATTAAATAACAATAAATAGATCAAACTGATGCTGAAATAACTACAATATGATGCAGATTTGTTAAACATATCAATTCATGCTTTGTCAGGTCTGTCAGCAGGACCGAAACTTCTAAAATGTTTGTTTTCTGAAAGGAGTTCGGATCGATCAGGGCTATGCTAACCTGTTCACAGTAAAATACAACAATAGAATCAGAATCAGACATACTTTATTCCCTGATGGGAAATTCTTTTGTCACAATTTGTCACACTTGTCAAAAGTAGATAAATAAAGAGTATATAAATGATACGTAGAGTATAAATATAAAATATAAAGACAAATATAAAATAAATATACATTATTAAGAGTTATTATTGTGAACCAAAAAGTGCTAATGAATAAATAGCAGCAGAGAACATTGCACATTAATTATTAAACCGATAATATTGCACAAAAATAGATAATACAGTCCAGTTTAAAAACTAAGTATCCAAGTGTCTGATACGGATGTCAGTGTCCGTTTGATGGCCACAGGCAAGAATGACTTCCTGTGGCGCTCTGTGGTGCATTTTGGGGGAATGAGTTTTGCACTGAAAGTTATCCAGTGTTTGAGCAACACGTCATGGAGTGGGTGGGAGACATTGTCCAAGATGACATGTAGTTTGGACAGCATTCTCCTCTCTGACACCACCGAAAGAGTCCAGCTCCACGTTACTGGCCTTGTGGATCAATTTGTTGAGTCTGTTAGCGTCCGCTAACCTCAACTTGCTGCCCCAGCATGCAACAGCAAACAGGACAGCACTGGCCACCACAGACTCATAAAACATCCTCAGCATCGTCCTGGAGATGTTGAAGGACCTCAGCCTCCTCTGAAAATAGAGACGGCTTTGGCCCTTCATGTAGAGGTCTTGCAGTCCAGTTTATTGTCCAAGTGCACTCCCAGGTATTTGTAATCCTCCACAATGTCCACAGGGACCCCCTGGATGGAAACAGGGGTCACTGGTGCCTTTGCTCTCCTTACATCCACAACCAGCTCTTTAGTCTTTGTCACGTTGAGCTGCAGATGGTTCTGTTCTGTGACAAAGTCCCCCACCACAGCCTCGTCACCCTGCTGATACATCCAACCACAGCAGAGTCATCAGAAAACTTCTGAAGATGCAGGACTCTGTGGTAGTTGAAGTCCATGCTGTAGATGGTGAAGAGGAAGGGAGAGAGGACCGTCCCCTGCGTGGCCCCGTTGTTGGTGACCACGCTGTGTGACACACAGTGTTGCAGGCGCACATACTGTGGTCTGCCAGTCAAGTAGTCAACAATCCAGGACACGAGGGGGGCATCCACCTGCATCGTTGTCAGTTTCTCACCCAGCGGGGCCGGCCGGATGGTGTTGAAAGCACTGGAGAAGTCAAAAAACATGACCCTCACAGTGCTCGCTGGCTTGTCCAGGGGGGCGTAGGTGCAGTTGAGCAGGAAGATGATGGCGTCCTCAACTCCCAGTCGGGGCTGGTAGTCGAACTGGATGGGATCCAGAAGAGGGCTGACCATGGGCTGCAGCTGATCCAGAACCAGTCTCTCCTGGGTCTTAATAATGTGGGAAGTCAGTGCCACAGGTCTGTAGTCCTTTGAGCCACTAGGAAGTGGCGTCTTTGGTACAGGAACGAGGCAATATGTCTTCCACAGCACAGGGACCCTTTGGAGACTCAGGCAGGTTGAAGACATGGTGAAGGACTCCACATAGCTGGGGGGCACACGCTTTGAGCACCCCGGGACGGACACCATCAGAGCCTGCCGACTTATTAAGCTTGATACTCCTACTGCGTAGGGTCTATGTGCGTACCCTACAGCGTAGCTACGCACATAGCCATGCATTTATACTTGTGCGTCCGTCAATCTGCAATTACACCCCCAAACGCTAGTTGGCAGTAGCGCTCCAACGTCCACTGTATTGACTTTTTGACATTTTGGGGTTGGAGGTGTTTGAGGGCAGACAGCAGCTGAGTTAGTGGGGGGATGGGCAGGAGCACAGTATCAAATCTGTTAAAGAACAGATGAAGTTGGCCCTGTCCAAGCTGCCTTCAGCACCTCTGCTGCCAGTCGGTCTGAAGCCAGTGATGTTCCTCATGCCGCTCCAGACC